ACAACTATGCCTTCCCAATGAATTCCTTTCTTGCTATGTAGCCAGATTTATGTCACTTGCACCCAAAGAACATGTATTTGTTTCCTATTGCTGCGGTAACAAGTTACGACAAATTTGGTGCTTAAAACAACACAAATTTATTATCTTACAATTTTGGAGGTCAGATGTCCAAATTGGGTCTTATAGGGCCAAAATCAAGGTGTCACCAGAAGGTGTGTTTCTTCTAGAGGCTTTAAGCGAAAATGTTTCCTTGCCTTTCCAGCTTTAGAGACTGTCATCATTCTCTGACTTGTGGTCCCCAGCCAAGCAATCCCACCACCCTGACCTCCGCCTGTGTCATCACATTTCCTTCTCTGGCTCTCCTGCCTCCCTCATATCCTTATGAAGACCTTTGTGATTATATTGGGCCCATCCAGATAATCCAGGATAATCTCGCCATCTCAAAATCCTTAACTTAATCACATCTGCAAAGTCCCTTTTGCCATGTAAGGTAATATGGTCGCAAGTTCCGGGAATTAGGATATGGACTTCTTCTTGGCGGGGGAGGGGGGGTGCGGGGGGGCATTATTCTGCCTACCACAAAACAGTAACAGAAATACCTCTTAGCTAATCTTGCATTCGTCTCTTTCTTATTTCTCCAGTCTTTATAAAATGTGATCTTTATAAAATGTGAATCTGGTCATGACTGTCCTCCCTAAAAAACTTCCCAATTCCCCAAAGCCCACTGAATAGAACCTACAGCACACCCTACTCTCTCACCTCTTACGGCTTGCTCCCAATGTTCTCTCAGCCTGAAATGTCCCACACCCCAGAGCAAAATCCTCTGTATCCTTCAAGATCGTATTTCACAGAAACCTTCATGATCCCTCTAGCTGGAATCCAGCTGCAAGACCCATGTCTGCAGAAATTGCCTATCTTGTCACCTCACAGTGCTAAGCACCAGCCAGACAGACCTGAGCTCAAATCTGCCCAGCCACAGGCTAACCTCTCTGTGCCTTACTTTCTTCTATTAAAAAAAAATGCAGATAATAAAGTAGTCAACTCAAATATTGTTTGTTGTAAGAATTAAATGAGACAATGCATGTAAAGTACTTAGCACAGTGCTGGCACACAGTACCCAATTATAGCTAAACAGTAGCAGTTATTATTAAAAATAGCTGAGTGAATAAATAAATGAGGTATTCCCTCCTTTCCCTGGGCTCTCAATACCCCCTTAATGATCCTTAATATGATCCAAAGCCTAGGACATTTTTAAAAATTGAATAAACCTTACATTTTGCATATTTATGTGTAGTCTTACTTACTTTCCCTCCTGTGGTATCCATGCTTAGTCAGAATCACTGTAGGGATTGCCAGTAGAAAAGGAAGGCTGCTCCTACGCCCCTTGTCAGGTGCTCTGAGCACATCAAACCTTGATAAATTCTGGTCTTCTTGAATCAAAGTGAATTTTGGCCACACAGAAGCTTCCTCCAGAGAAAATATGGTGGCTTCCCCACCCTCATCCCCACCTCCATGAACTCTGTGCTCTCTGAGGCACCACCTTGTCATTCCCAGTCTTGTGACTCTGCTACTGTGTGGTCTTGGGCTGGCTGCTACATATCTTCCTGAAAAATGGGCATAACAGTTCCTGTCTCCTTCAAGGTCGGGTACCTTATAGAAGTCCAGTGCAGAAACGAGGAATGAATGTTAACATCTTTTGCGAGGTAAAAGAGAAGTGATCGAGCTGAGGGGATAGGAAATTTATTACCAGGAAGTGGAAAATGAGTTGCTATGAGCATGTGGGGAAACATAGTTGTTTCATAATCACACCCTTTGGACTAGAGGTCCAAAGAGGCCCTTGGAGCTGGTCTTGCCAGGGCTTCAGGGGTTGCTTCATAGAGGATGTAGATGAAATTTTCACACACCAGAAAGCTGTAGAAGTTATTTCCCTGTCCAAAAGATCTTTTTTTTTTTTCTGACTTATAAGTTTGTTTTCTTCTTATAAAAATATCTGTTTATTATAGAATTCATTACAGAACTTCTAACTTTTAGAAACTTTATTTTCTATCAACCTCATTTCCATTTTGTTTAAGAGTCTGTGGCATAACAGCTTAAAACCACTTAGTGGTTTTTCCTACCCATTCAGTGGCCTGAGCAGTGGAGGCTGCAGACCAGTCTTCCGTGGTAAGCTGAGCACTGGTCTTCGGTAGGAAACTGCTGATTAGGCACAGAATGCACTTGAAATGCCTCCAGACTAATCTGTGACCTCGGGTTCAGTAGCAGTGTATTAGGGAGCTGGAGCAGTCCATTTACCCTGAAATTCCTCCTTGGTCCATTACATGACTTTTTGAAAATACCAAAATGTACAAAGAAGGGGAGAAGCTCCTGTATTCACACTGTATAGATAGAGATCATTACATTTTGTTGTAACTGCAATTGTGTATCCTGTTTGTTGAATATTTTCCCAGGTGATTAAATATCTTATACAATGTGGAGATTCCAGTATGCAAATTTGTTGCAATTTATTTAACCAATCTCTTATTGTTGAACTTTTGAGATATTACCTTTGTTTTCTGGTTTGTTTGGGGCTTTTTGGCCGTTAGAAGTACTACAATTAATATTTTTGTTACACAAATCTTTACACATATCCTCGATTATGTCCTTTTAATTCCTGGAAGTGGAATTGCTGGACCAAAGGATATTTGATACATATCGCCAATTTGTCTTCTAAAACTGATTTCACCTATTTACATTCCCACAGGCAATTTCATAGGAATCACCGGAATTGCCGTTGTCATTAACTGCCGAAAGCTTAACTAGAACTCCCAGAGGGCCTCTAGCCTTGCTTCACCTTTTCCCGCCCACTCCACACACCCGCCTCTAGCCGCACGCCCCCTTCTGTCTATAATTGTCCGCCCCCTACTTACTCTAGCATCGATTCTGCCCAATGAAAAGTAGCCGTCCCTAGGATCTCCGCATGATTGGTACGTTAAAGTGTCCGTCGCGCTCAGGGGCGGGAAGACGGGGCTAACAGACGTGGCGACAGACCAGTGTAAACGGCGAGCGGGGCGTGCGTGCCGTGCGTGGCGCGCTGGCTTGGAAGCGCTGAACCTGAGAGGTGAACAGGCGGGTTGAGCAGTGAGAGTGTTCGGCGGCCATGGCTCCCAACGTTCCCGCGGCCGAACCGGCCACAGAGTGTCCTAAAGGCATCCGGGCCGTGCTGTTGGGGCCTCCCGGGGCTGGCAAGGGTACCCAGGTGAGCTGAAGGGCCGGTCTTGACGGCAGAACCCATGGAACTTCAAGGTCAGGGTGGCCGGAGGTCTGGATCGCCCCGGAGGGGAGCCGTGGATCAAGGCCTGAAGGAGGGACGAGCTTGGCTGGCGTGTCTGGGGTTCTGACAAGGCGTTTGTGGGGAAGGTCTAGATTGAAGGTGGGGAAGTCTGAGTTAGGATTAGATTTCTTGAGGCATCTAGGCATGAGGTGTCGTGTTAGAAGGTCTAAGGACTGATTAGATCCCTTAAGGGGCTAGAAGCTGAGAGGATTTGAAGGGTAGGGTGAGTCCTGGACTGAGGCATCTGGAGTACAGCCTGAGTGGAGGCAGGGACCCCAGACTCCGTATGATTTGGGAGTGAATTTCCCAGGGTTACTTTCTAGGTACTCGGTAGGGGAACATTTCTTATTATGATTAATGACTGAAGGTGGAGAAACATCTCTGGCACGTGGGGCAGAGTGGGAGCTGGCGTGTGCTGGTGCTTAGGAGTACCGCTGCTGAGAGAAGTGAGGTATGACCTGCGTGCCAGTTAAGCAGGGGAGTGGGGATAGGAGAGGGTACCTCAGTACAGGTAAGAAGACAGGCCCAGAGAGGTCAGGTGGCTTTCCCAAGTTATCAGAGTTGACTTGATGAAGCCTGGAACCTCAGAAGCTTTGGGGCTCCAGGTAATTAGTGTCTGAAGTTATCTTCTGCCCTAGCAGACTGCCAGGTCTCACTTGGTTTCTGGGATGTCATGGGCCCATAGATCAAGGTTGGGATTTATGATCTCATTTAAGATTTGGAAGCCCATAAGTTGGATTATCAGTATCTCCTTCCTGCCTGGGGTCTGGCATTGCCCCCCATACCCCAGGCTTTTGCTTGATGTTAGGTTCTAAAAAGGGAATTTCTGAAAGTCTGAGCTTCTAAGTGACTGGGGTTCTGGGGACTGCCGTGTGCCTACTCTTCTCTTCCTACACTTGCAGAGTCTTGGAAAAATGACCATCTTGTCTTACTCTTGAGACTGCTGTGGCACCTAGCACATTACTTGGCTCCCGATGGGGTTACTGGGAATAGATGGACACAGATTCCTGTGGGTGGTGAGAAGGGTTGCCTGGGAGATTCAGTTCATTTCTGTGATGTTGCTTTTCGGCTCTGGGTACTAAGTCTAGAAGAATCATGTACCCTTTTCTTTCTATAGCTGGACTTGGTTCCTCCTTAAAGCTCACTGTTTCCTAATCCCCTGGCCCTCAGCAACACCGATGTCTCTTTCCTGTTGCTACCACCCTCAGTTATTAGATAACCTGCAACCTTAAGAATGTTTAATCCCAGACTCTGCAGACTTTTGCTATGGTTATAAACAGGGTAGCTCAAATGCATCAATTATTTTTTTCTAGGTTCATATCGAAGTTAATAATTTCAGTAGTTGTGAATTGGACAACCCATCCCAGTGCTGAGACAATGGCTTTATAGTCTAGACAACTTTATTCTTCCCAAGCCTCCGTGTTCTCACTTGAAAAGTGAAGATAATACATACCTAATTGTTAAACATTTCATGAGCACCAAACATTGGAGATAGAGCAGTGAATAAGACTGATAAGGGCTTTGCCCAGGTAGACCAACAGCTCACAAGGATTTTGGAAGGTTATGTTACATATGTGTGTAAAACACCCATAGATACCTAGATGACAACCTGGCACATAGTAGGTGTTCAATAATTATTGATTCCCTTATCTTAGTAACACATCTTTCCCTGACTTAGATGTTTTTCAGTGTAAAAGGTGATAAATTCAGGAGGTTTCGAAGAAAATTATGTTTATGAGCTGATTTATAAGGGTGCAAATATGGCGGGAGTTGGTCAGAGAAGGCTTTATAGAAGTAGAGGAGATGTGATTCAAGCTGGGACTTGAAGAAAAGGTAAGATTTACAGAACCTTGATACACCTTTCTTTCCATAATTGGAACAATAGGAATAGTGGTGGTTGTAGTTTTATGGAGTTAAAAAAAACTGTTCATAATCAGAGGTTGGAAAATGGCAGCCTACTGTGGCATTTAGCCTGCAGACACACCCTAACCTTATTATGAAAAGTTTGAATACACAAAAGAAGACTGGGATGGTGTAATGAGCCCCCATTACTCAGCCTCAGCTACCATCAGTTGGTAGCCATTCCCCCCATCTACTCTCCCTTCACAAATCAGCTCCTAGATATCCTAACATTTCATTCGTAAATATTTCAGTGTATATCTCTAAAAGATATTTATTTTGTAAACAAGCACAATATCCCCTAAAAAATTAACAATTTTTAATGGCAGTCAATGCTCACATTCCCATTTGTCTCACAAATGTGATCATTGTAAGTCTCTTAATTTGCAGGTTCCTTTCTTTCCACGTCCCACCTGCAGTTGTGTGTGTGTGCGCGCGCGCGCGCGTGTGTGTAAGAAACTGGATTGGTTGGTTGTCCTAGGGGTATTCCTTTTGGGGGGAATTTTTTATTATATTACCATGGCATATTTAACATCTTCCTCTTTCCTCTCTATTTCCTGTAAATCAGTAGTTTGATAATACACTTAACCAGATTCAAGTTCAATTTTTTGGCTCAACTATGTCACAAGTGGTGCTGTGCTGTCCATTAGGTATATCATGTCTGCTTGTCTCTGGTGTTCAGTGCCTGGGTCCAGAAATTCATTGAGCATGGCAAAATGGTGGTATTCTAATTATATCATTCTTTTTTTGTTCATTAGCTGAAATATTTCTGTGAAGAGAAACTTCTCATCTAATTGGTAAATGGTTTGTATAGAAAAGGCAGGATAAATGCTTGATTTGTTCCTTTTATTTGTCAGCTTTCAGAATAATAAGTTGACCACACAGAGTTTTCAGTTGTGAAATTGCACTTAAAAATCCAGAGCTCGTTTCTCTTGAGAAATCAGATCTGATGGCTCTGGGCCTCCATTCCGGCCTGGCATGCAGTTGGGCGACGATGCCACTTTGGATAATTCATGTGCTCGGCTATCTCCTACATAACCCTCTTCAGTGCTTGTTGCTTACATTTGATCCACTCCATCCATTTGTGTTGCCTCCCTGGCCACTGTTGGTAAACGTTTGTAATCTTTGATGTAAAATCCCTAACCTGGGTTTGTGCCTAGTGCCTGCTCAGTAATGTTTGTTTTCTTCCCATTAGTATATCCTTTTATACCTGCATAACTCAGTATTTTATGTATTTTATATTGGCATAACTCAGTCTGTTTCCTATTAAAATTTATCGTTTTAAACTAAAGTAGTTAAACGTTTTTAAACTACCCCACTTTTGCATCAACATAATGATATTTAAAACATTTAGAATACTTGGATCTGTTATTTCATTTAAATAACCTTACTTCCCTGTCTGTGGTTGGTTATTCCTACAGTATGGCTAAAACTGAGGTGTGTTTTGTGTTTTATTTGTCAAGTCCTTCTTCACTGTTTTTTTCATGTGTCCAATTTATACCAGTTCTTCAAGACCAGGCACACTTAGGCAATTAGCTACCATCTTGCAGGTCAGGCTCTGTCAGTTATGTCAGTGCAAAGATATTTAAAACAACTTTGTGAGACCCACACTCTTATTCCCCCTTTTATAGTTAGAGAAACAGAAGTTCAGAGGGTTTGTTCTCTAAGTCAGCGGTCCCCAGTCTAATGCCCGATGATTTGAGGTGGAGCTGAGGCCATGGTGCTGGTGCTAGGGAGTGACTGCAAATACAGATGAAGCTTCGCTTGCTCACCCTCTCTTCACGTGCTGCTGTGCAGCCCAGTTCCTGACAGTCCACAGACCAGTACCAGTCTGTAGCCCGGGGGTTGGGGACTCTGCTCTAGGTTACACAACAAGTGATTGGCAGATCTTGCACCTGAATGACTCCAAGGCTACTGCTCTTTCTGTTGTTATCTGCTGCCCTAGGTTAGATTTTTCTTCTACCTCATGAATGTTTAGTTGGATAAATTTGGTGCTAGAGATGCAGAGAACAGCCCTTGCCTTCAAAGGGATGTAATATTTCAAAATAGTCACCCTTTGCTTCGTTATGTAACAGACCCCACCTCCCAGCCAAAGACCTTATATGTATCCTCTTATTTAAGCCTACAACCCTAGGAAGTAGGTCCTGTTGTTATCTATGCCTTATTATGGGTAAACTGAGGCCCAGGGGCTGTATCTTGCCCTGGGATGTACATAAAGTAGCAAAGACAGGATTTGAACTCATGACTGATTCTTGATCAGCAGAGACACCATCTTACATTGCTGCTATTAATTTAGGCGTAGAGGCAGAAATGAACATGCCTGCAAACAATACATACCAGTGCACGTACCACATGAGAAGTGGCAGATGAGTGACTCTGACAAATGTTAGGATAGATCAAGAACTATAATTTGCTACTCAGCCATAAAAAAAAAAAAATGCATTCTTACCATTTGCAACAACATGGATGGACCTAGAGGGTATTATGCTAAGTGAAATAAGTCAGAGAAAGACAAATACTATATGATTTCACTTATATCTGGAATCTGAAGAACAAAGTAAATGAACAAACAAAATGGAAACAGACTCATAGATACAGGGAACAAACTGGTGATTTCCAGATGTGAAGGGAGTTGGGGGATGGGTGAAAAAAGTGAAGGGATTAAGAAATACAAATTGGTAGTTAAAATACAGTCACGGGGATGCAGCATAGGCAATATAGTCAATAATATTGTAGTAACTATTTATAGTGCCAGGTAGGTACTATAGGGGGATCATTTCATAAATTATATAAATGTCTAACCACTATGCTGTACAACTGAAACTAAAATATTGAATGTCAACTCTAATTGAAAAATTAAAAAAAGATGTAGCAGTGAAAAAAAAACAGTCTTCTATTCTTCTTCATACCCACCCAGTGATTTTGGTACTAATGTCCCAAATTGATAGATAAGGAAATAGTCTCAAAGAATATCTGGCCTAAGGTTACCTGGTAAGTTAAGAGGCAGAGCTGAAATTTCAAACACAGGTCTCTATGCTTTTTCTTTTTTACCGTCTTAACCATTTCTCATAGGTTCCTATGCTTTTTAAAAACTTTTTTATCGAAGTATAATACATAAAGGTGCAAATATGACAAGCAAGCAGCTTGATAAGTTTTCACAATGTGAACACATTTGTGTAGCTTACACTCATATCAAGAAACAGAGCATTGCCAGCACTGTGAAGTCTTCCTTATGTTCTCTTCCAGTCAACACACAAACATAAACGCACACACCCCTGCCTTTCCCCAGCCACTAAGGCTTCGTGGGTTGTTTTATTGTTTGATAAGGCCATATAGTGTCATGGATAAGAGCTAGGGCTTGACAGGTCGGAGTTATTTGTTTGGTTGGTTTTTTGGTTTTTTGTTTTGAATTTTTATGAGTTTGTCTACATATGCCAGGGAGCAAGACCTCGAATGCTCCTCAAGCTCAACAGTCTTGAGGCCAGTTGCCAGCTATGTGATCTTGGGCAACTTAGTCTCCGAATTTCATTTATAAAGTGCAGATAAAAATAGTTCCTACCTCATGGATTTGTTATGTATTATGGATACTAAATACCATAAAACAATGCATGGAAAAATTGCTTGGCATGTCACAAACACTGAAAGTTAGCTGGTGTTGATATGACTTCTTGGAGGAAGAAAGGATAATTAGGGAGGTTTTTTTTGGTAGGAAGATGTGCTCAGAATTTGGCTACAGGGAAGGGTAGAATTTAGGCAAGTAGGGGGAAGGGAGAAAATTCCTGCATAGAAAGGAGCTTTGAGCTGAGGTCCACGGAGAGACTTAAAGGATGAGGACGCATACACAGAGCATCTGTTTGCAGTGGTGCACAGCGTGCAGAAGGGGACTTATGGAGGTAAATTTGAAAAGCTTGGGAAGTTTAGAAAGTTGATTGTGGGGACACTGAGTGCTAGGCTGAGATATCTGGACTTCCTCATTGCACTGGGCAGACAGTGAAGGCTCCTGAATGTGCATTTTGGGGGGTGGGGGGAACATGTCCAGCAATATTTCAGGGGATTCCAGCTGCACATTTAGGAACATTAAAGGTGGAAACCGGAAAGACTGGAGGCAGAAAGATGTTTTCAAGGTGAGAAAACAAGTGAGTTCAAGATTAAGTCTGAACAATTCATAGTTTCCCTTTATTTTCCTAAATATCAGACACTATGCTAGATACGTTTGATTATATAATTTTATTAAATCCCCACAGTAGCTCTGAAAGTGGACATGGTTGGTTGTACTCTAGGGATGAAGAAAGTGAGGACTTAAAAAGGCTGCATAACTTGTTCAAGGTGATACAGCAAATAAACTGTAGATCCAATTTCCAACCCAGATCTGTACCACTATAAAGCCCAGTCTTGCCCCCATTGCCCCAGGGCTTCGCAGACTGTATGCATCAGAATTCCAGGGCCCTACCTGAGTACTACTCAGTCATAAACTTTAAGGATGGGTCTGGCTTTGTACTTTCAGCAAGTGCCCCAGATGATTGTTGAGGTGGAGCTGAGGCCATGGTGCTGGTGCTGATAACGTGCTGAAGTTTGAGAACAGTAAACCCACCATTCTTCCTTCCTAGTGGTTTTAGCAGTTTTTACCCATCTCCCCCCAGAAAAGGTCCACTCCCCTTTCCCACAGTAATGAGACACAAGTAGCTCAGCTTCAGCAGCATTAGAGTCCTGGGGGCCAGCAGCAGAGCCAGGCCTGGAAGCTTGTTAAAAATGCTGGGGCTCAGACTCTACCATATGGAATCATTCTGTATTTGAATAGCAATACCCATCCCCACCCCATGGTTTGGAGTAGAAGCATTGCTCTAAAGCGTAAGCTTGAAGTGTGAGGGGAATATAATAAAGTTATTTCATCAGGCTTCTACGGTTTGCAAGTAAAGAGTAATGCAAAAAAAGAAAGACAGTGGAAAGAGGTCTCTCATTAAGATTCCGAGAAGTAGCCCAAGATCACATAGCTGTTGAGTGCTTTAGCCAGGGTTCATGTGTAAATCTGACTCCAAGGTCCATGCTCTTTGCAGCCCACCACACTGACTTCCAGGCAGCTTATAGAATCCCATCATCTGGACCAGCACGGTAGAATCCTGTAGTTTTGGGGGGAGATTAAAATAGAACAATCAAGTTCTGTACTAACATCTCTTCTCTCATGATTTGGTCTCACCGTCAAATTTTTCACCCAAGTTAATTTCAACACCCAAGGGGAAATATTAGCAGAAAAGCACAGATCTCTGGATATGTGACTACCAGGCCAGCCTGGAGGACCAGAGGTTTTCCATTGCCCAGAAGATCCTGACCTTCACTGGTTTTTCCAAAGTGCAATTTTTAATGCCTTCATAACAAAATGGAACCCAGATGAGAAGGCGTTAAAAATGAAGTCATTTCTTTGCTTAAAGTCAGTCATTCCATGAATCACAAACCAGAATTTGCTGCACTGAGCCCCATCAATTAAGCTTTTATTGTGCGTGCTCCTTTGAAAACTCCCAGTGAACTGGTTTGAATAAGGATCCAACCCTACCTTTTTATAAAACAAGTGAACCAGAAAGCTAAGTATTAAGCTCCTTGAACTGATTTTATTTCTCATGAGTTCTGCAGTTGTGTTTTTTTTCTCTTTTGGGGTGGGGCAGTTGCCACTGCAAAACCATTGTTAAACTGTCCACGCACTTTTCCTGTCCTCGTCTCGTCTTTGTTCTGATGTATGGTCCATCAAACTGTGTCTCCTATTCATGTTTCCCGGGCTCCAAGCAAGGTTCTTGGAAGAGGCATCAGTGTTTTATTTCTGTGTAAATGAATATGGAACTGGGGCAGGGTTACAGTAACAGCTAACATTCACCGAGCACTTACTATGTGCCTGGCCCTGCATATGCTGAATTCTGTGTAATCTCATCAACACACTGGTGTAGGTGCATTGCCATCTCCTTTTTACTTAGAGGAAATTTGAAACTTAGATGATATAATTTTTCTCAAGTCACATCTCATTGTCTATCTATTCATTGGTCAACCTGGAGTCTGAAGCTCAGGCAATTTGACTCTCAAGCCCATAACTAGAAGCTATACTGCCTCCTAAAACTAATATTAAGTGCTTACAGTTTGCCAAGTGCTCTTTGTATATATCTCATCTCATCCTCATAGCTACTTTCTGTGATGGAGCCTTTTTGCCTTCGTTTCAAACAGATAAGGAAACCAAGCCTCTGAGAGGTTAAATGATTTGGCCAAGATAATGCAGCTACTTAGTGACAGGAAAGGGACAGAAATAGTTCTGCGCAGGGGAAACCTGTGTTCTTCATCTTGCCACAGCTGCCTCTCAGGCCAGTGGCCACAGCACTTGACAGTCACGTTCATTCCTTTGGCAAATATTCAACACATTACATGCCAAACATTGTGCTTTAGATACACGAACTCCCTTAAACATCACAGCGACCATGTGAAGTACTGATACTGCTATTCTTCTCATTTATAATGGGGAAACTGCGGCCTATGTGTCACTATGCATCTAGTGGAAATAGTGATAATAGCTAATATTTATGATGGCTTCCTGTGTGCTAGGTGCACTGTTTTAAGTGCTTTACACATATTATCTCATGTTATTCTCACTATAACCTTATAATCATTATATGTTAGTATATAATATAAGGTACTTTTATTTCTGTTACAGGCAAAGAAATAGGTATTTGCCAGAATTCATAGAGCCAATAAGCGGCAGGGCCAGGTTCATACCTAGGAAGTCTGACTTGCAGTGGTAACTACCTTGGTTTCTGTCTTCCCCTCCACAGGCACCCAAATTGGCCAAAAACTTCTGTGTCTGCCATCTAGCTACTGGGGACATGCTGAGGGCCATGGTGGCTTCTGGCTCAGAGCTAGGAAAAAGGCTGAAGGCAACTATGGATTCCGGGAAACTGGTAGGTTTGATGGTGCCAGTAAACGTTGATATTCGTTAGAATCTAGATCTACATTGCCTAATATAGTAGCCACATTGTAGAGTCTCGATCTACAATGGCTAATATAGTAGCCAGTAAACATTGATATTCCTTAGAGTCTAGATCTACGTTGCCTAATATAGTAGCCTAATATAGTAGCTACTGAAATTAATTTAAATTCAATTTAGTAAAGCCATGTAGGATCATGGATAAGAAGAGCTAGGGCTCTTATCCTCAGTCTCACATGTCACATTTCAAGTGTTTGCTAGCCAGCAATATATAGAACATTTGCATCATTGTAGAAAGTCCTATTGGGCAGCCCTGTGCTACAGGGCACATTGTATAAACTTCTAGAGTCGCAAGTTATTTGGTTCATTCTGAATTAATGGCACTTCTTTTACTTAGAGTATTCTTGAGGTTCCTTTGTGCTGATGCATTTTGTAATATACTCAATTTTTAGGACCAAAAATGCAACTGCCATTCCTAGGCCAGAACTCAAGGATCTATTCAAGAGAGGACTCAACAAGCCACTGAGTGTTTTTGAATCTACTTTTATGTCTCTGTTCTATGTCTTTAACAGAGGAATTGCTCAGTAATTGACAGAAGTCATTCTTCCTATTTGGGAGCTATAATAGTATTTTCTTTTGTTTCTAGTCCAATTAATCTGATTGGACAAATGCAATCTATTAAATCTTCTACTAAATCTTCTTTGATTAGCACCAGAACTTAATCGTAACTGAGTTATTCTGGGACTTGGCCTCTGGGAATCACCTTCAGAAGTCATTTTGTACCTGGCCCTCTGGTCTTTTTATATCTTATTTAGCATGTTGGTTGGGGAAGGTGCTATGCTTTGCCTCCATCCCCGAGTTATACTTTCTGTCAGGCTTTGAGACTCAGTAGCTATATCAAATGGTACCCCTGCCTGCCTGCCCACCTGCCCCTTCTAGCTTTCTCTTCATGTCAGTGAGGCCTTGAGTCAAGCCAGAGAGGTAGATATTTTGGACTTTGAGTCTTGGCAAAAGATCCTATACTGAGAAAAAGTTGGGATGTGGCAATGAGATTACTTATCTCCAGCCTTCACTTAGTTGTAGAGCTTATACTTTGTCCCCAAGTTCACAGCTGGTCCCAGGAGATAAGTGTCTTAGCTACCAAGATGGGCAGCCTTCACTGTAATACTGACTGAGAACTTTTCTTTCTATGAAGGCCCAGGAGGAAAACAAGATTTTGAAAGCTAGGAGGGCTCCTCATTGGGTTTTTAGAGAGGCTCAAAGGTGTATTGGATTGGCTTCTCAGTTCCTTGGTTCTAACCCAATCTGGCTGATTCAGTGAACTTCTCTGTTGCCTCATGTTTAGATCGGCCTGGGTCTTTACTGTGAGCCAAATCAAAATCATGAAACAGAGAAAGTTGGAGCCTTTCTGTGTTCTGGTCAACCCCCATTCTCTCCTGCAGTAATCAGGTTATACAGACACAAACTAGTGGCCTTGGATTTGGGCTAATGTCACCTAGCTAATGGATTTAAACCCAAGGCTTCTTTGTTCTTGATTTCCAGGTGAGTGATGAAATGGTAGTGGAGCTCATTGAGAAAAATTTGGACACCCCTCCATGCAAAAATGGTTTTCTTCTAGATGGCTTCCCTCGGACTGTGAGGCAGGCAGAAATGGTGAGTGGCTGGGTTTGTATCACGATTGCATGATAATCAACTCTGGCCCTTAATCTCTTAATTCCTTAAAGGGAAATGAGTCTGATCAAGCTCTGGTAGTTTAGGTGAGCCACACACTCTTTTACAGCTTGACGACCTCATGGAGAAGAGGAAAGAGAAGCTCGATTCTGTGATTGAATTTCGCATCCCAGACTCTCTGCTGATCCGGAGAATCACAGGAAGGTATTTGTCCCCTGTGCCTCCCTTCTTTTCATGCTTCCTCAGAGCTTTGTCAGACCGTGGGAGTGCTCTTGCCTAATCACAGCCATGAAGTTTAATGCCATTTCAACATGGATTGATCTTGTTTCGTGACCTCTATTCAGCTGGTGATGTGGGACAGGGATGTGGAAAGAAAAACAAGCGATTTGAAGTCAGACAGCATCTCCATCCTGTTCCCCTTTTACCCTGACCCTAGGCAAGTGTCTTAACCTTTCTCAAGGCTGTTTCCTTATATTTAGAGTAGGGTTAATAATTGCGGAACGATCGTGCTTGTTAGATAAAATAAAGTGCATATTTCAGAGCCTTGCTTATAGTCTGTGCTTAGGAAATATTAAGTCTTCACATGTGTGCCTCTGTTTTAGTGCTCTTTTAAAGTCTTCAATTGGAGTTGCCATACCTTGCTGTAGGCTCTTTATTCTAAAAATAATATGACCATCTACACAAAGTTTAGAAAATGGAGAGAAAATTTGCTCACGGTACAGCCACCTTAGCCAAAAACACTTATTTTTTGTGTGTTTTGTTTTAAAGTGCTTGTTTCTCTATAGTAGTCAACATTGAACACAGAAATGCTTCTGCATCTGAACAGGTTTGTTCTAAGAAAGATCACCACTGCTTCAGGCTATAGTTTCCTCTACCCTATTTCACTAATCACTCTGTTATCTGCTTGTGCCTTCCAGAAATATGTTGGAAGCTCTTAACCACTAATAGATCCTCCCATTCTCTTCTTTATTGAATGCTATAGGTCTTTTATCCCTTGGTCATTTTAATGGAATCTCAGGAAGGCGATCAGCCTACATCAGGGAACCAGACATCCGTGACCATTATTTTTAATTGCTGTATGATATTACACAGTAGATGAACCATCATTTACTTAACTCTTCCCTTATTGGTACATTTGTGTTTCTTCCAGTTGTTCACTGTTAAATTGATGCTTTGGCCATCGTAGTAGATGGAAATTTTTGGATTTAATTAAGGAGAAACTATTCTTATTGTAAATTTTATTACTTTGATTTCCTAATGAGGTTGAACATTTTTCCATGCGTCTGCAGTCCATATCTTCAAGGAGAAAGACAGGCATTTAAACAGACAGAATGAGTGTTAGAGGTATTTTCCTATAAGGCTATATTAGATACAGTGGAGTCCACCTTATATTAATTTTTTTTTCAAATGTCCAGGTTTTATGTTTTGAGCTATTTCGTAAGCTGCTTCAAAAGTGCAGGAACTTTTTGTAGGATTTTTTGCATTCCCACTGGCACAAAGTAGACAAAGTTGATGTAGGCCGAGAAGTGGTAGGGTTGACAGGATGGGACATCATCACCAGGGCTGAGGGCTCTGGCACCAAAGCAGATGTTAACAATGCTAGGTGACACCGGGGCCTTTGATTCAATTGGCCTAGCTGCTCGGGTGCCTGCCTTGTGTGCAACACAGTACTAGACTATAGGGCAGGGGACTAGGAGAGGATATAGAACAACATGATGATCCCCGTCTGTAACCTCAAAGAGTCTACAAACCATACACAAAACCTAGGCTGTTTAGTGCAGTAGGAAAGCCAAGCTGCCTAGGAGACGTGCAATGTCAAATTTGACTTTCCTGAATAGAGAGGATTTTGATGGTTCCCCAGAAGGGAGTAGAAGCTAGAATGAGTATGTGTTGAGGGAGGGGCTCTAGCTGAGGCTAGTGGCAGAATGTCCAGAGTTGGAGGAATGGTCTTGGGGGCTGGGTGGTAGAATGGGTACTATTGAGAAAGTAGGATGGGAGCTAGACTGGGGAAGGTCTGCCAAGGTGAAGAGGATAAACTTGAGTCAGGAGTCATGGGATGTTCTTAAACCATGTGGCAAAAACAGCATTCTAAGAACATTAGCTTGGTTCTGGCGTACAGGCTAAATTGGAAGAAAGGAGAAACAGACAAGGACCCCACTTAGGATCCTGATTGTGACCCATGTGTAAGGCGATCAAGGCTTTTAACTGGTGGGGAACAGAGATTCTGAAGAACTAGAGGAATGCTGTAGAGGACAAAAGAAAGACTCGGTCTCCCAGTTCGGAAGTGAGTGGTTTAGTGTGACCCTTCCCTCACAGTGGAGGAAGTGGGACAGGCCAGATTGCTGTTTTCCAAGTTCACTCTGCAGATCAGTGACAGAGCTGGCACCAGAAGTCTGCTTTCTGCCTTCTAGTTCACTACACTGATTATTGGAAGACAAAGAGTCAGGAACTAGTTGGCTTAATGTGGATCTTATTTAAATCTGACATAAGGACCACTCTGTAGATATCTTCTGAATGAGCTCAGACATCACTTCTAATAGTCATTATTTTATTTCTTGAGTAAGTATGGTTCAGTTTGTGTTCAGCGTTGGCTCACTGGTGTCCTAATTATCCTGCCAGTTGGTTCTCTGTCAGCATTAGCCTAATGTCTCATACCACCCCCATTTCGTGGATGAGAATACAGGTGTCTAAGGTGCCGTACTCCAAGTAGCAGTGGCTGTAGATTCCCAGCCATTAGGCCTCCACATCTTCACCGCCACGTCCAGGCCAGGCTCAGGGATACCTAGAGCTGTTTTGGTTGGTACTTGAGACCAATTCCATTTTAAGAACTCAGAGACTGGGCTTTCTTTCTTTTTCCTTCTAGGGAATGAGCCTTGCATTCCTCTTAAAATGATGTTTGTGAGTGGGGAAGGAGCAGTGTGCTATACATAACTGGAGGGCTGAGGGAATCCCCGGAGTAAGCAAGAGATGTGGAGAGGAGATAGTATTCTTTGCTGCTCTGTGCCCTGTGCTCTCCAGAAGGTGAAATGTTGGGACGCTCTGGTCTAATAGACCTCCTTGAGGAGAGCAGCCATCGATTAAATATGCAGACCTTGATCGACACAAAATTGGGAAACACGAGCTTGAGCAAGCAGGCCCTGGCTGTTGAGCCGTGTTTGGCCTGCCTCCTTCCCTTCTTAGGTTTCTGGGATCCTGTAGCGAGGCCTCTTCAAATCAGGACACGGGCTCTTTGCCTAAGAGGGCATAGTACAGATGTTGCTACAAGCCAAAGAAATGCTTCTTCCTGGGCTCTTTATTCCCTGGCTTGTTTAATAAGTCATTTTTCCATCGGCCTTGAATATTGCCCTCTAATAGTTGGTCTCTCATTTACCTTTGTAATCACAAAGGGGTGCTGCATTGTCTGGTGGTGTTTACATCCATAGGATATATTTTTCCAATAGTGTCTTTCTGAGTTTATAAAACACTAGGTTAAAAAATAAGATTAGTTTCTCTGTCCCCCATAGCATTTTGTATGCATCTCTGTTAAAAGATTATCACATTTATTGTAGTTATTTATTTCCACATTTGTCTCCCCCATTGAATTAAGCACTGCTTATGAGCCAGGATCTTGACTTGTTGCTCTGTAGGCTTTGGACTTAGCTAAAGGCCTGAATCAGACCAGACTCTTAGTAAATGTTTGTCAAATAGAATGGGTGAATAGAATGAATGGCTGTACGAGACCAGCACCAGAGTTCCTCTCTTGAGTCCTGAAGTAGGCAGTTCAGCCAGCTTCTTCAGCCAGACGCTTATTTTAATGTTGGGTCAAAATAGAAAACACACTCTAGTATCATCTTATTTAAACGAGATGCCTATAGCTATGTTCTCGGTGGGGCTAAAGTTGTTGCATCCAGCTTCTCTGTCTCTTTTTGTCATCTTGGACACCCCCGGGGTTTAGCATACCTTCAGGCAACCTGACTTGTATGCATGTGCTGTCTTTTAGGCTGATTCACCCCATGAGTGGCCGTTCCTACCACGAAGAGTTCAACCCCCCAAAGGAGCCCATGAAAGATGACGTATGTAAACACAGGACAGTAAATTTCCTTTTCTTTCCTTCCCCTTTCTTCCTTTGCTTTTTTTTTTTTTTTTTTTCCATCTTTCTTTTATTTCTATCAATATTACTAACTTAACCATGAGAAATATTACTGTCACGTAAATCACATGGGCTGTGGCCCATCTGTACAATGAGTGTCTCTCTTCAGGTGGTTCACTGCTTGACCTTTAGGTGCCTACCAGTGCCAGTACTTCCCAGTGCCCATTTGTACCTGTCTTTTGTCCGGAGCAGCCCCTTCCTAGCATCATGGCAACCTAAATGGTTAACTAATCAGGAGAAGGCTGCTTGGAAGCCCAGAATTAAAGCCAAGGTGGGAAAGATAGTACTGAAGAGAAGTTTGTTGGCCTGCTTCAGAAGAATGTCCCCTCCTCTAGTGACTCTGCTGTGCCCTACAGATTCAGAATATTTTGGCTAGATTAACATTGAGAAGTTTTTAGGACTGTCTTCATTTACTTGCCAGTGTAAAAGGAAGGGCCTCATACATGTTCGCTGCCATAAATAGTCCATGTCATCTGTTTTAGAACATGCAGGAATAATAAGAATTTCTTGGATTTACCTTAGTCATATGAGACAAGTTCACCCTGTCATGCAGATTCCAACACCATCATATTAGTCACATTTTGCAAAGTTAGTGATTCTACCATTCTGAGTTCTTTCTCACTTCACTTGCTACTTTCAGAATGTTGATGGCTGACACCCTAGTAAAAACACAAAATATGTAAATAACTGAGATTATAATGGCTAATACACTACTGATTTAGATGTATTGTCCTGGTCTCAGAAGCCTCTGTCTTTCTTGCTTCTGAACCTAAAAGAGTACATCGTCTAGACTGATGAAAAGCATCGTTTGTCTTCCTCTCACAAGTCCCTTTCCTCACAGTTGCTGTTTCAGACTCCCTGACTTCTCTGGATCAGTTGGTCTGCTCCTGGGACCAACTTGCTGGGAGTAGTAAAGTTCTTTATAGTTCTTTATTGGAGAGAGTCTAGATTGTCTCTTT